CTCACTTACCTCTTCTTCAAGATCCATTTCCCTGTCATACTTCTAACTCCGATTACTCCTCACTGTCTACATTCCCTCCCATTTGCCATACTTCTAACTCGGATTACTCCTCACTGTCTACATTCCCTCCCATAGTGCTAAGGAACAGCATCTGGTGTTCTCTTCCCACTCAGAATCGCTCTGCAAGGTCACCAAGTGCTGCAAAACAGCACTTGCTATCCCACAGGTGGTAAGAATGACCGATGCTGCAAGGAATGGAGTGCACGAGTCTACAGAGCTAAAAATCAAATTGAGGAGTTTATAGGGTAGGATAAATCAAAATCTACTTGCAAATAAGCTCTGTGTTTTTGCAATTAATCCTGTGAAAGAGCATGACTAGGTATTTATCAGTAAGTCCCAACACTCTCCCGCTCTCCTGTTTGCAGCTGGAACCAGGGAAGGAAGAGACCTGGCTCCAATTACAAAACTGGCCTCACAAAGCTTTTGATAACCAGTTTTGCTACAACTTTCTGTGGGAGCCTTCGGCACTTGAACAGCTTTCTCCAATTACCCAATTGCAAATGATGAGTAAGTCAGTCCTCCCTTCTCATTGCTTTGGAAGGATGCGTTCTGCGCCAACCACAAAGGATGCAATGTCACCCCGCTGTATGCCAAAACCATGAGCTCAGACAGCACTGGCATCCTACCTTGTTGCCATTGACATTTCTGAAGGCCTTGTACACGCTGAGCAGGGTAAGATGATCCCCCTCACTGGAGATGAATTTCTTCCTGACAGACTGCACTTCATCCCGCCGGGCAGGAGGATTGTAGAGGACACTGTCCACTGACAACAGTGACACGATGGTCAGGATCTCTTCTGTACAATGGAACTTAGGGGAGAGGAGGATGGCCTGCAAATCACAGAACAAAACTGAGTTTTGGTTGACCAAATCGACTTTGGGCAGACTTTTCTGCTCACTGGCAGCCCAGGAACTTTACCAAGCATTGTTTAGGACAATTTCATAAACATTTTGACCTAGAGACAACTGTAAATCCTCTTACGGGCCCACCAAGCACCTTTAAGAGCAACTGTCATGCTGTTTGAGACTGGCTAGTTCATCTACAGTACAAACATGGTGACTAAAGTCAACTACCATATCACTTCATGAAACTGCTGAACAGTGCTACCAGCAATCCCGGAAACTGCAAGGGAATTAACCTTGCTTCAGCTTCAGAGGTGCCAGAGGAAAGAAATTATCTTTTAAAAAATCTCCCATAATTAAATTACAAATGATAAGCAAACCAGCAGAGCTGCTGCAAATAAAGCTTTGCCTCATTAACATACTGCAAATATACTAGTACAACTGCAGTTGCCCCAAGTTCCAGACCTTGATTAAGGAGTTTGAAAGAGAAATGCCAGTGATACTAGGAAGAGCATGTGACATAAAAATTAGCTAAATTTTACTTTAGAGAACTTCGGTTCCAGTGGAAAGGCTGCCATCCTCCTTCCCAGGGGGGTTAGGACAGGTTGATCTTCCTTTCGTTCCACGGCTCCCAGCAGGTCCAGCTGTTCAATTGCTGCTTGAATAGCATCTGTCAAAACAAAGATGTTCAAGCGCCCTGGCTGACATTGGCAGGGATGTGAAAGATCAGCTGGTACCATCACCACCTCTTTCCCCTGGCCAGAGGGACAAGTCCTTTCTGTTTAGAGAAATGAGTGCCACAATCTGTGGTTTATCCCATTCTATCCAGTAGAACAAACACCTTTTCACATTTAAGTAGCAAAAACAGAAGCAAAACTAAAGCTGCCATCTCTTAGCTTTGAGCAGAAGCCACATGAGATTCTCTACAGCTTTCCCTGGTAGCCAAGGCCATCCTTCATGTTCTTTATGACTCAAACTGCTTCTTGCTCCATCTGGAAGCTGGACTCCCCAGCTCTCTGCCATAACTGTAGCTGCTCTGGTAAGACCGAGGACGAGCAATGAAAGAATCTGAGACTTCTAAATCATGAGAAAATGCAGCAGAGAGAGACAGCTTCTTTCACAGCCCTGACCTTCCAACACTCCATCTTCTCAGGCTGGCCTGAAGACATTATTTTAAACCAATTCCTCAGTAACTCCTTTGCCAAGTTTTTCCAAGACTGCCTTTGTAATCACTTACCAGGAGATGGTTTGGACATGAAGTCAAAGGTAAGCACGTTGGGAACTCTCAGGGCCAGGAGCTGAAGCATCACACTGGCCAGGTTACACCTGCATAGGGAGAAAGAACAACTGAGATTGTTCTCGTTTTTCTTTTTTTGTTGTTTTTTGCTTTCTTTTTGTTGCCTATAAGCTGAAATGGAGTCCTCAGATCTATGCTGCAACTTGACAGGTCCAGTGCTGGCTGGTGAAGCCTCACTTTCTAAACCACAACAAGGCAAGTCCAAAATTTGGAGGAAAGTCAAAAGAACTATTGCCCATGTATGTTCAGAGACTCAGGGCCCAACTTTCCACCCTGAGAAAATCCTTCCTAATTCTTCTGTTTAGTCTCCATAGTTCATTTTTCTTAAAAGTCAACCAGTCAGACCCTAGATCCAGTTTTGCTGTTCAGTTCCTTACACAGCTCCATCTGTAATAGTGCATAGGAGAGGTGTGGCAAGAAGTGAGGCGGTATCAGGGTTCTGTTCTCACCTCTGTATCTCGGGTATCGTCATTTTGTCAAACTTCTCAAACTCATTTTCTGTGTAGAGCCGGTAACAGATTCCACTGTCCTCTCGCCCTGCTCTCCCTGTTCGTTGCCAAGCCTGGGCCTTCGATACCCGCTGGACTGCCAACACTTCCAGACCAATTTCTATGTGTGGAAAAGCATTATTTCAGTCAATGTCTGTGTAATGCACAGCTTTGAAAAACATGTAGGATTAATAATAAAAAAATCCCAGGGTGTGCCATCCAAATACTGCTCAGACTTTACTTGGTTTAGCACCCTGAAGCAAAAGCTAACTATCACACACTGTGTCCAGGAAAAGAAGATTCATATTTGACAGATTTTTACCCCTATATGGTTGGTACTCATTAAAACAAACAAAAAAACCACAAAACAAAACACCCACAAAAAACCCCACCAACACCCATACCTAAAACCTGACAGCATTCATTCAGACAGCACAGAGGGCATTTTAAATCAGCTCTCAGTGGGGCTTACTGGCTCATATAACTCCTACAAAACTGAAAACAATCTCTGCATCATTCCTTAGAACTCCTCACCAGGGCTGTACTTCTTTGCTTTGACCATGCCTGTGTCCACAACGTATTTTATTCTCGGAATGGTGATGGAAGTTTCTGCAATGTTGGTGGAGAGGATCACTTTGCGACAGCCCTAGAGGAAAGAACAAACTAAACTCAGTCAAAAGCCACCTTAGTTCAGCTGCAAGGAGGAAACGCTGCTACTTTCGCCCAGCATGAGCCAAGCCTACATATCACTGCAGCATGCTGTGACCACATACCATGCTTGCTGTGCCAGCTCTCGTAAATTAAGATAATCTCTAGCTTCTCATCAGTTTCTAAATCATGAGCTTACACTTCTTGCACCAAAATATATCACCCACGACAGCTGTTGTCAATACGTCTTTAAGCCATTTTGGTTTCATTTCTGGCACAAGTACGCGATCTGAATTCTTATTTATCTGAATATGTATGAAAAGAGCCCAAGGCAGCACAAATTCCTTTCATCACAGCCCTGCCAAGTATGCCCAGGTTTTTAGTTTTCTTAGTATTTGGCTCATTAACTGCTGTAGCTTATTTGTGATATGGACATAAAATTCACAGAATCACACAACATCAGGAGTTGGAAGGGACCTCAAAAGATCATCCAGTCCAACCTCCCTGGCAGACCAGGTCACACAGGAAAATGGGGCAAGTTTAAATTCTTCTGCCCTTTTCAATTCCCCTAATCCTTATTTTTATGATCCCAGATGACTTAGCATATGCATCTGTTAATATCATCACAGTTACATTGTCTTATATCACACTAGAACCAGAGTCTAAAGTCAGTGGACAGTGGAGACTATTACTATCAGTACAGGTCACTTTAACCCCTGAAATCCCATGTTTCCTCCAAACACTCATGCAAACAAACTCATCCTGATTACCCATCACATTGCCTCACCTTGGGGGCAGCCTTAAAGACACGGAGCTGTTGAAAGTAGGGCAGAGAAGCATAAAGAGGCACAACCACCATCTGTGGGCAGCAATCAGGGAGATGATTGGCAACATCTCGACAGGTTTTGGTCATTGCTTCAATTTCTTCCTGACCGGTCAGAAACACCAAGATATCCTGAGAAAAAGGTGCTTCCTGAAACCAGAGGAAAAAGCACATGAGAAGTTAAGATGGTTTGGACAGGGAGAGAAGGAGTGAGAACCGAGACTGTAATGAGATGCTGTCCTGACAGCAAGTCAGCAAAGCGGGCAAGGAAGAAAGAAAAGACACACATGTGGTGCAAGGTACGCAACAGCTTGAATTCACCACAGGTGAGGAGTAAACTGCATTTTGCAGGATTAAGTCTTAACAGGATGGAGGAATTGTCTTAAGTCCAGGACATGCAAACAGGAGAGCTGGGAAGCACCCAGGTATAAGCCAGTAAACACAGAAAACTCAGGTGAGAGGAACATTTAGGTATTAGGTGTGAAATGACACCAGAGAGCTTTGCTTAGCAGTCTCCTTTCAACTTCACCTTGATGTACAAATCCCACAGCTCTACCAACAGTGTCTTCAAAGCATTGTATGTAGGGTAATAAACAGTTTAATTTTATGATTTCCCGCTTCCAATCTTTCTTCCCACTTTTGGAACAACACTGGCATTTGTCAACCCCTCCCTTAAGCCAATCCAACTCAGTAACCCAACATGCTCCCCAATCATCCACCTTTCCCGGAGGATGCAGTAGAGCATCTCAGGGACATCTCGTATTTGGTAGCAGCAAGCTCAAGTCATCTTTTCTGCCACAGCAACCTTTGAGCCCCCCCAACCAACAAGCCTTGGCCCCAGGAAGGCACAAACCTGGCGAAACTGCCATACCTGGTGGATTTGAAAGATTGACACCAGTGCTGCGTGGAGGTAATCACTCTGAGGCTGTTTGGTGTAAAAGATCTGAATGGGATGCTGCCTGCCTTCTAAATAGAGAACAGGAGCTCCATTGAAGTACTGGGAGAACTGATCAACATCCATCGTCGCTGACATGACGATCACCTTCAACATGAGCATGAGATGGGTTAGCACTGCAGTTCAGACCCAGCAGGACACTTACCAGTCAGGACTAGCCAAAAGTCTGCTTCCTGAGACTGAAATATGTGCTCAGAACAGCAAAAAGCACACAGACTTTGAGACAGAAGAGAGTAATCTTTTCTTGTTAAAGCCATCAGCTCTGGTATCACACAAGTGTAACATGTCAGTATGACAAAATGAGTGAAAATGTGTTAAAATTCTTCTATGACATTTAATAAACAGAACTGAGTACACACAAAGCTAGGCTGCAGAATGGTCTGTTGAATGAGACTGTGCTAGCACTCTACCAGTCCCCTACACGCCTCCTCCACCAACATGGTCTCATCACGTACTCACATAAATTCATTACATGTGCACCCACCACACATGTGCAATCTCATTCCCCACTGTGAGCACGTCATGCAGCTGCCACATCAGAGAGCTCCTGTATCTGCAGGGCTCTTGGCAACTGTACCCAAACCTCCCCAAACAACGTGTCCAGTCTATAGCTCACACCCAAGGGGCTCTCCTGAAAAAAGGCAACATGAGGGTGACCGGATACTTTGTTCAGATGTGTGATATCAGGCCCACATATCATAAGATCTATTCAGATTTAAAGGAGCTTTTTAGGAACAAGAAAATAGTAAAGGCTGAAATTTCAAACACTTTGGAAAACTGTAGGAGATACTCCTAGTGCTGCGCTCAGGGTCCGAGCCCCATCCCTGCCCTTTGCTGCCACCCGAGATGCACGTACTTTTAGTGGCATTTTGCCCAGTTCCTTCCGTTTCTTTTGTGCAGCTTTCACCACTCCAAAGAGTACATCAGTATGGATTGTCCTCTCGTGAGCTTCATCCAGGATGACAATGGTGTATTTCCGCAGCATAGGGTCTGCAATAGCTTCGCGAAGCAGCATCCCATCTGTTAAGAACTTGATTCTAGTTTCATCAGATGTACAGTCATCAAAGCGCACAGTATAGCCAACCTACGGAGCAGTACAGGAAGTACAAGCACAAAGTTACTCGCATGTCTCATTGACATCATACCACAAAGACAGACCACAAAGCGCTCTGCTCAACGTGGCAGAGCCAACCGGAACTCCAAGGAGACTCTGGAAAGCGTAAGTGTATTTGCAGTCTGTGAGTGTTTAGTCTTGCAAAGCTACTAATCCACCTAAAGGAAGCTCTCGACACTGTACCCCAATTAGCTTTTTCCCAACTAGAAATCATCACAAATTCAAATAAAAAGTTCATCACAAATGCTCCAAGTTTCCTTTCCTTCCTTCCCTGCTAGAAACTACTCCATGCTCTCTGAAGCCTTTATGCAAGGGAGGCCTTTCTCCTCCATTATTCTGCCACAGATTAATAGATCTGCACAGATTCAGCACTCTGACAGTGTCACCTTGACACAGACTTTTGGTACAAGGAGTAATGGAAGAGAGTGCAATATTTTTTGTTTTATTCATTAACCAGTAATTTTTCAAATGGAGGAACACAGATAACATCCAAGAAGTGAAACATCAGTGTCAAACATACCTGCCCTGAAGCACAGCAGCAGGTAAAAAGCCAATTTTTTCCACCAGTCAGAGTTATTATTAAATGAAGACAACCTATTACCCCTATGGCTGCTTTTTATTTTACCCATTAAGCCCCAGTACGGCCCCACTGGTGCTGCAGTACTAAACCAACTCTGTGAAGACTTTGTAAAGCAACCTACCAGACTTCCCAGCTGTGTCTTCTTCTCATCCGAGACTCTGGTAGCTAAGGATATGGCTGGCCCCCAGGGTGATAGCGATGACGCCTTGGCGGCCAATTCCTGCCTCGTAGAGGTACTGAGGGATCTGGGTGGTCTTCCCTGAGCCCGTTTCTCCTACAGAACACCAAGGGAACAGACTTTCATTTTTACAGCATTTTCAAATGAAAAGTCCCAACTCACTGTTTTTATGTCAACTTTTAACCATATTTCAGGACGGGGAGGATGAAGAAGTCCCACCATAAAGCAGCGGCTGCCCAGCTCTAGTTGCTAGACCACTCCTCTACAAAACCCGTTTCACCCAGGTTCTCTCCAGCCACACTCTGGTTTAGAAACATACTACAGGCTGCCTGGACATGAAGTGTTTGTTGTGTAACAGAGCCAGCATAAGGAGATAATCACGCAGAGCCAGGAACAGACACTGATTTGGTTTTATGCATACATTTACACTACACACTAGGAAGTTTTGAAGCAAAGCCATAAGAAAACCAAAGCAAAGATTTTGTCGCAAGTACCAAGTTATGGTTTGAGACTCTCTTAGAGGAGCACTCATAGTACCAACAAGCCCTTAGTACCAACAAGTCTTCCTCTGCGCCTTCCCAAAATCAGAGAAGGTCCCTTCAGGTCCAGGTGAACGGTTTCTCCAGCCATACACCACCAGCACACAGCACAACAAACACCATCCCACTTCACCCCAGGTGCATTTCCAGCATAAACTCTGTGTCGACACCTCTGCCAAAGACATCAATCAGCAAAAGCACACAGACAGCTACCACCAGCCCTTGCCACGGCATCACAATAAAATGCATCACTGACTGGGCACAGCATAACATGGCACAAATCACAGTGCTCAGAGACACCACAAGTGAAACTGTCTTGAAGACATGGAAGAACAGAGAATGTTTTCTAACATCACTGCAGTTTCCCTGCATGTGTAACTACAGCTTCAAACACATCTTTAACTCAAGTCAGGGCTCCTTCAGCTGTCTCCTGGCCTGCTACAAGAATTACTCTATGTGAAAGAGTGCAGGGCTCTGGAAAACAGAGCCCTCTACTCTCAATCCCTGCAAGACAGCAACGGCGCAGAGCGTGATGGGGAAGCAAGGTGACAACTGATAAGAGGAGGAGAAAGAAGCAGGAGAAACTCAGAAGGATGAGCACCAAGCAGAGAAGAATCAGAAAGACTAACTGTAAGCACAGCTATGAAATTTTAAGTGGCATATTATAGCGTATATTTAGCAAGCAAAAGTGACAACGTCAGGATTACACAGACGAAAGCAGATAAATGCAGTCATGTCTACCAGTTATCATGACTGATTTTATTCTTTTAAGGGTTCACTCACAGGACTGAAATACAAAGCATTTTTAAATTAATTCTAATAAATGTGGACTCTTTAGTCTTCCAGCTGGGAAGCTGTCTATCTTCAGCTCTCGAAAGTCAGACAGAAATCTTATTAGTGTGGACTCAAGGAAAACATAATAAAATTAGTGAATGCCCCTGAAATCGTAGCTGAGGGCACACTTTTTCTGAAGAGCAGGGTTTCCTATTTGTAAGTTGACTGAACTCCATGCAGATGGTGAAACAGAAACTGGGAGGAGTGCGAGGGAAGTACTTTTGCCTTCTCCATAATAGTTAAGTCCCTAGCTGTAATAACCAGTCAAAACTCAAGAACAAAAATACGACCACTTTACCGCATTTCAGATTTACACCCGAGTGGCAGGACCATCCCAAAGCCCTCCCCGGGGACCCCCGCCTCACCGGGCAGCAGCA